AAGCTGCAAAAGAAGCTTTATGGCTCACTGGTTTAGTGAAGGAGTTGGGTGTTCAGCAATATGGAGTTCAGCTGCTTTGCGACAATCAAAGTGCTATTCACTTAGCTAAGAACCAAGTATATCGTGCTAGAACTAAGCACATTGATGTACGTTTTCACAAGATCAGAGAGTTGGTTGCATCTGAAGAGATTTTGTTTTAGAAGGTACACACTGATGAGAATGCCGCTGATATGTTCACCAAGCCAGTTATGACAGACAAGTTCAAGCATTGCTTGGACTTGTTGAATGTTTCAAGTTGTTAAAGAACTAAGGTAACCCAACCCACATTGAATGTTTCCTAAGGGGCAGGATATTCGCCAAGGTGGAGATTTGTAAGGTATGGCTCATAAATATACCGGTAAAGAGGACAGGGGATGGAGCGGAGTGAGCGAAGCGAACATCAACTGTCCTTACAAAGAAAGTCTCGTTGAGGGGGTTACGATTATGTGGGTTGGGGATGCGGGGGCTGCGGCCCCGTGGTACGGTACAGGGTTAATTTTGTAATTATGTACCAGGGTTTTCTATTATAAATATATATGTAACCTAAACCTATGAGAATTGAATAAAATTTTCTAGCGCCGCCTAGGTACCGAGGACGTAAGCACATTGTCGATCCTCGTTACGATTCTTGTGTTCTTTCATTTACTTTGCCCGATTTATCAACAAGTTGGATATTGTGTTTAGTAATTGTGTTGGCTTTTGATCTTTAAATTTGCACATTCATTTATGTATGCTCTAAGACATGTATTAAAGAAACAAACATACAAAATCGGAGGGGAAGGTGTGCTTCCTTCACAAACAAAACCAACTTCATTAGATAAAGTCGAAAAAGAAAGACCATTTTGAGAAAGCCAAGAGTGCTATGGTGAATTTCGGTACTGGTGGTGTTGTGCAATCCATCCCTTCTTAATGATAATAGGATTTTGGAATGTTAGGGGGTTTAACAACTCCCTTAAACAACTGAAAGTGTTTAGAAGATTAGATAAATATGGTGTGGATGTTATTTGTTTGATGGAGTCTCGTATTAGGAGGGACAATGTTGATAGTTTCTGCTCTACATTGTCTGCTGATTGGCATTTTGCTGAAAATTATGACTTAATTGATGGGGGTCGACTGTGGATTTTTTGGAGGAAGAACTTGTTTTTTTATATACTGAGAAAACATGACCAAGCTATTACTATTTGGGGGACAGTTGATGGGCATACGACATTTATAACTGTTTTCTATGGTAACAATAGTGGAGCTGCTAGAAGAGGACTTTGGGACCACTTAAATTCTGTTGGAAATGATATTGGTTCCTCCTCTTGGATCCTTGGAGGGGATTTCAACATCATAGCCAAAGCAGAGGAGAGCTCTGACTTTGATGTCATGGGTATTCATTGCACCCCAGACATGAAAGATTTTCAAGACTGCTTGGAGAGTTTTGACCTCATGGATCATTCGTTTCTTGGTCCTTTATTCACATGGTCCAATAAACAAGAAGATTCCTATTTAGCGCGTAAATTGGATAGGATCTTAGTTAACAATCAGTGGTTGTTTAATCATCCATAATCTTTTGCTAAATTTGCTGCTCAGGGCGTTTCAGACCATTGTCTCAGGTTATTGTTGACTCATAAAGGAGGTTTGACCAAGAGGCCTCGACCTTTTAAATTTTTTAATTGTTGGGCTGGCCATGAGCTATTCTTGGCTACTGTTAGAGATTCTTGGCAGGGTTCTTGTGGTGATAATGCCATGGATGGTCTGTTCCTAAAGTTGAGGAGGCTCAAACATATCCTAAAGAATTTCAATAAGGAGTATTTTTCTGATATCTCGGGTAGGGTTACCAACAAAAGGGCTGAATTAGAACAGATCCAGATTTTTAATCTGGCTAACCATGATCAAAGGAGGATTGGTGACGAGAAGAGGATTCATGCTGAATTAATGGATTTAGAACTGGAAGAATCTTATTTTTACAAACAAAAGGCGAAAGCACATTGGCTGAGAGAGGGTGATTTTTTTTCATCAAAGGACTCAGGCCAATAAGAAAAGAAATACTATCAGGATCGTCGTAGGTGAGGATGGGCTAAGACACGATTCCTTTAAAGGAATGGCTGCTGAGTTATTTTTCACGAATCTTATTGGCTCCAGCGATCCTATGGTCAAGGGTTGCTCTACTGAGATTTTGAAGGATTTATTGGGGTATTCTCTGCCTGAGGGAGCAGATTCTATTCTTACCAAGGAGGTGAGTGATATGGAGATTAAGGAGGCATTATTCAGACAGGGGAAGGATAAAAGCCTTTGTCCAGATGGTTTTACATCTGGTTTCTTTAAGGTTGCTTGGGAAATTGTTGGTAATGACTTTATTTCTGTTGTGAGGCACTTTTTTCATACTTCTTGCTTGCTGCCTGCTTTTAATTCTACAGCTTTGGTGTTGATTCCTAAGTCTTTAAATGCTTGCTTGGCAAAAGATTTTAGACCCATATCTTGTTGTTCAGTGGTCTACAAAACTATAACCAGGATTCTTGTAAACAGACTTATTCCATACTTCCCTCGTATGATTTCCCTCAATCAGACAGCTTTTGTCAAGGGTAGGAATATAGTGGATAACACTCTATTAGCACAGGAAGTGGTTAAAGGTTACTCAAGGAAGAGTTTATCTCCTAGATGTGCTATCAAAATAGATCTCCAGAAGGAATTTGATTCTGTCAATTGGGAATTTTTGCTGTCTGTTCTTAGAGCCTTGGGACTTCCTGATAAATTCTGCAATTGGATTAGAGCATGCATTACTACATCCATGTATTTTGTTTCACTGAATGACAGCCTGGTGGGGTTTTTTAAGGGTGCAAAGGGGGTTAGGCAGGGTGATCCCTTATCACCCTACTTATTTTTCATGGTGATAAATGTTTTGTCATCTCTTTTGAATGTTGCATCCATGAAGGGAATCTTTCGTTTTCACCCAAAATGTAAAAGAATTCAATTAACCCATCTTTGCTTTGTGGATGACCTTCTAGTTTTCTGTCATGGGTCCCTTGAGTCTGTGCTTGGTGTTCAAAGTACTTTAGAAAAGTTTTATGAGCTTTCAGGACTTAAGTTGAATGTCTCGAAAACTGAGTTTTTTTTCTAGTGGCTTGAATCAAACTACCCTCGATCAGATTCGGCTAGCCACTGGGTTTAGAATGGCTCAGCTCCCTATTAGGTATCTAGGGGTTCCCCTAGTTACCCGCAAGCTCACTAGTAAAGACTGCACTGCTCTACTGGAAAGAATTAAGGACAAATTGAGGCAATGGTCCAGCAAAAAACTTAGTTTTGGAGGAAGATTGCAGTTAGTCAAATCTGTTCTATTCAGCATCTTTAATTTTTGGTGTAGACAGCTTATCATTCCTAAAGGGATTATTAAGGAAGTGGAGAGACTTTGCATGCGTTTTTTTTGGAAAGGGTGTGACACTCCGGCTAGAGGAGCCCGAGTAGGCTGGAGTCAGATCTGCTCCTTGAAGTCTGAGGGTGGGCTGGGACTCAGGGACCTTGCTCTATGGAGTAAATCGTGCTGCCTGATGCTAATTAGGAATATTCTAGCTAATGCTGGTTCATTGTGGATAGCTTGGGTAAAGGCTTACTGTCTTAAATCAGAAAGTTACTGGGAGGTTGTTAGTAAGCCTCATTACAGCTGGATTTTAAGCAAACTACTGAGACTTCGAGATGATGCGAGGAGATTCTTTGTTCCTGGTACCGATTTGAGCCAAATCAATGGTAAATGGATATGGGATAGTATTCGAATTAGCAAAGAGAAGGTGAGCTGGCACAAGATTATTTGGTTCCCTTCTCATATTCCAAAATTTTCCCTTATCGCGTGGATGGTTACCCTCGATAGGCTGCCAACTAAGGACATGCTTGTTCGTTGTGGTTTGGATATTGATGATGTATGTATGGTATGTGGTTCTGGCAGGGAATCACATGATCATCTATTTGCTGACTGCCCTTATGCTAAGGATGTTTGGAGTGCTGTTCTACGGCTGTGTGGATTTCAGTTAGGATCAACGCCTTAATTGGTTGATCGAGAACTTGAAGGACAAAACCCTTCGCAGTCGGATCCTTAAGCTTGCTTGGACCGGGTTCCTTTATTATATTTGGGAAGAACGCAACCACATGCAGTTTCGAGGTCTTTCAAGCACTAGTGAGGTAATTGTAAATAGAATTAAGGTAGCGGTGAAAACCAAAATGTATAGCCTTAGTACACACAGAGTTGATGATGGCAATAGATACTTGTACACAAATTGGGACTTGATCTAGGTTGAGGCAGGTTGTTTGTAACAACTAATGATGTTTCTTTTGGATGAAATATAATTTACTTATCCAAAAAAAAAACCAACTTCATTTTTTTAATGCCATGAAAGTATCCATCGAACAGTGTTATGGTCAGTTCCAATGTACAAAACATAAACAGACAAACAAGGCATACGTTAATATAGCCGGCTGTGTTTACGCTAACTTTTCATACGTGCTTTACGAAATACGTATAAGAACAACCGCATGAAGCAACTTTACAAGCAGCAAAAATCTCAAGCGAAAAAACCCACAAAAACTATGCTACACTAAAGTACAAGAAAGCTCGACATTATAGTACAACCAAACAGTTTCCCATGAAAAAAGAAAACCTTCCCCACACACTCTTCCTTGTAGGACCCAAAAAAAGAACCCGCAGTGATAATACCGATTTCTCTTCTTTGAATATATTTGCACATTTCTAAGAATCAGATGGTTTAGGTCCTTTGTAAATTATGATTTTGCTACCAAATTCAACATCCGCTGTTGCCTATATACGTTTTATAATATGGGGTTTTGAAGATGTACGTACCAGCAATGTATATATTAGCTGTAAATACACAGTTTTCCATTTCTTACAGACCAAAAGAAACAAAGGGAGTAGGTTAAGGATCGGATTTCGAATCTTAAAATTTACTATCTTTTTTCCTGATCTCGGGAGACTACAGATGAAGAGAAGTATCAACGTCACAAGTCTCAAACTTCTTCGATGTGCTTGAAGTTTCATTAGGCCATAAGCTTGTTGATGATGCCTGGATTTCCACAGCTCTGAAATTGGTTCGCCTACCGTGAGAGCTTAGTCCAAGAGAGAGCGATGAATCCTGATGGGGTTTCTGCCTCGCCGCCTCCGCCGATCCGTTAGGCTCGAATCTCATGTCGGATTCGGACAACAGTTTCAGAAGCTCTTTCCCCTCTCTCCTTTCCCTATCCTTCTGCAGTTGTCTGAACCTTTCTTGCAAAAGAACAATGGAGGAACTAACCACGGTAGGATCACCACCACCTTGTCTACCCATTATAGGAAAGATACGAAGACGAAGAAGAAGAAGAAGAAGAAGAAGAAGAAGAAGAAAGAGAAGAGTTTTTGTTTTATGACAAAGTGGTTGATGATTAGATCATGTATTTATGGGAGATGGCCATTTACTGTTAAACACATTAATGTATGGATTTAGGTGAGAATCGGGTGTTGTGAAGCTAAGTCCAAGAAGATGAGTTAATGAGGAGGTATTTCAGATAGTTTGTTTAATGGAGGATAAGTGTGAGATACAAGAGTCCAAATGAGATTGGGAAGTAGTATTTGGAAGGAACCTTGGTGAGGGAATAAATGGTTAGGTCACGCAGCTATGTTTTTAAAAGGAAAGCGATTATATTCACTGCCACGTTTGCCTGCATATTGGTGTATTTTTATCATGATGAAAAAGACAGCATATCAGAAGGAAGCATTTTCACAATATCACGAAGGTAGGTGTGGTAGCAAATACACTTGGGATAAGCATCCGACTTAAAATGTTACAGTACCAAAAATAGGTTTATAAAATTTTAATAAATAAATAAATTATTAATAAAAGTATAAATTATATAAAAAATTTAAATTTTTATTATCTTCCCGGTGGGGGTGGGGTTGTTTTAAATGAAACCCACAGTGCAGTCAGCATGAGGGCATTATCATTGCTAAAAAGGTGGTTGGTTTTGATGGACCATCTCTGTTTAATTTGCACTTGATTCGAACAATATTAGGTAGCAACCAACTTTGCAGCACCCTAAATAACTGCTGTACACATGGCCTTGCTGATATAGTTAATATTGTGGATACTGTTAGCCTGCTTCTTATGTACTTCTTGCTATGCCCCAAAAGGGATATGAAGTGAGGTTAATGGTAATCTTCATCCAACCTTTTACCTGATTTAGTAAGTTAAACAAAGGTTTGGACTTAGGGATGTATAAATGATTTTACTCAAGAAATAAATTTATAAAATCTTACGAACAAAATTAAATTATTAATAAAAAATCTAAATTATACAAGAATTTTTAATATTTCAAAGATTAATCGTCCTCGTCGTATATTAGATTTTACCACTGATACGTTGAAGTGAAAAAAAATATTTTTTACGTAAATAATGAATTTATTAATTTAATTAACAAATTATTATTTCTAAAAGGTTTAATTAGAAAATAAGTACCCAAATTATACCATTTTTCCTAAATAGATGTTCAATTTTTTTTGATTCATCCATGTGTCTAAGGTTACAAACATTATCACTTTAGATGTCTGGTCCGCAACAAAAGTTAAATTCCGTCGTTAAGACATGTGGCACATTCAGGTAATTTTGAAAATTTTATTTAAAATTTTGAAAAACTTAAAATTGTATTTTAGAAAAGTTCAAGTTTTTCAAAAATATTAAAAACCTCCCCAAACTTTGAAAATCCTAAATCTAATCACTATACCCACTCCCGCATCTGCCATTGCCAACAAACAACCATCGTAATAATAGCCGAAGAACCCTAAATCACGACAAATAAAACTACCAGAACGAACCTAAAATCGCGACTCCACGACAGTCGTCGAGTTGACCATCGCGACTACACAATAAGAACGACATCGTCCTACTACGGAGATGGAAGGGACAACGTTAGCGGCGGTGGCCATGGCAAAAAAGGGAGGTAAAGTTAGGATTAGGGTTAGGGATTTGAGGTTTTTAGGGATTTTAGACTTTTTTGCAATTTTAAAAAATTAGGGGGTTATAAATATAATATTTTTTAAGTGTTTTTAAAATATCTTTTAAAATTACCAGAACGTGACACATGTCACTTGACGGAGATTTTTAACGGGTGTTACGACCAAGGCACCTAAAGTAGTAACATTTATAACGTTAGGTAGCTAGATGAATAGAAAAGCGTTTAGACACCTATGTGAGAAAACGATATACTTTAGTAACTTATTTTCTAATTAAGCCTTTCTGAAATGATGTATCTGGGCAATATACTCGATCGTTATGTAACAAAATATTCGTCCTTTTGTTTAAGGATATACAAGGTATAAAAAGTTAAAAAGTAGCTTGGGCAAGCCGATCGTATTGGGAAGACAATCGGGTGACAACCAAATTTTAAAACTATTCCATAAGTTGATATCAATTCGGACAGTTAGGAATAATAAAACCTCAATAATCTCATATGATGATAAATGTTAGGATGTTACTTTGTAATCTTCCCTGAATCACATAAACTACTTTGGCAAAATAGACGTTGCTTGAATTATCAAACTTAAAATCAGACGATATAAAAAGCGTTCTACAGAAAATAAAATATGATACGAGTTTAAGGTGTTTGAATGGTTTCGAAAATGGTGAGTGAATCAAGCATTATGATATATGTGGGTAAAGAGGAAGATATTCATTTTGGAAACTTGAGTCGACCTTTCTTTCTCGACCAGAGATTGAATACCTCATAACTAAATCCACATCAAAAGAGATGAGCCGCCATTACCCCCTCATGTATATCACCAAATATAATCATATTTGCATACATAACTATATCAGACACATTAATTCAAAAACAAAACAAAAAAAAAATCAATTGTTTAGGTTAACCCATTAAATTGACTGAATCGAATTTTTTTTCGATTAATTGATCGGTTAATTTTAAGTTCGATCGATTCACGATTAATGATTTTTTCAAAGTTATTATCGGTTAATTCGGTTCGAAATAGGTTAATTAACCGAATTAATAAAAAAATTTAAAAATTTAATATATTATTTATATATTAATAGCTTTGAGAGTATTTAAATTTCGATTTAAACCGAATTACTAAACTGAATTAGCCGAAAATATTAAATATTAAATATATAATATATATTATTTAAAATTTGTTTCACTCGGTTAACCGACTAATTAACCAAACTTTGTTCAGTTTGGTTAATTGTTTTCAATTCGGTTAACGGTTAAAATGAAAAAGAAAAATCGGTTAGTGAAATTTTGAAAGTTTGGTTCAATCAATTAACCTAACCGATCAATTGAACACCTCTAATCTCGGTGGTAAAAGAATTGTTGTTATTCCTTAAGGTTTTGGGTTCAAACACCATGAATAATAAGGGTATGAGCATTCGATATCAAATGATGAACAATAAGGATATGAACATTCAATGTCAAATAATTGAGAGTTATGTGAATCCTAATCATTACCGGAGTGAAGTTCAAGAATCATACGCGATCAATGTTAACAGCTTTCAAAGACGATTCTATCATAGTCTGCTTCGCAGAACTAGACTCGTAATATTGAAATGTTTAGTATTTCCCCCCTACCTTTTGCTCTCTAAACAATAAGAAAAACTACATAAACGTACATAAAAGCAAATTTTGCAACAGGGTTCCAGCTTCAGGGAAACAACACGAGACTGTCTGTTGCGCTTTGCCACCTTGAGAAACACTAACGAAAGGAATGAAGGCGCCCACGACGGCCGGTGAACTTTTTGCTCTCCTTTTAGACAAGCCACTGAAGAATGCAATTTAAATATGTCAATAACCAAGAAGTATAGAAAATTCCAATAACGAGTCCCTCTTGTTTGAGTAGACAACAAAAGGACAATAGCTAAGAGCTATTGAAGAACGAAAGCGAGAAAAAAAATGATTTCTTGGGAAGAAAATGAATATCATTAAACCATTTGAAAGATTAAACCATTTGAGAGATGTGGCACGATATACGGTATAGTCAACCTCTCTCATGCTACACCAATTCATATGCACAAGGCACTGCTGCAACATAACTTGGATACCATAATTTATTTGATGAGAGTGGGTAAAATATTCATGGTTTGATGAAATGGCTCGATGCTCATGCAGCAGAGAAAATATCCCATGTTTTAAACTGCAGAAGAAATGAAGAAATACTACTAACAGAAATATGTCTCTTACCACAGGAACAATCAGAATAATATTGGTGTTGGGGGGGAACCCTTAAGATTGAAGTAACTTCCAAATTTTGAGAGGTGAAATTTACATATACCTTTTATTCGTCTGAGTTCCTTGTATAGTGTGATGAAGTCTCCACACTTCATATGGCATCGCCTTATAAACCGGAGAATCTGTTCAGTTGTAAACATAAGCATGCCTTCCAAGTATTCCCCATTAACACCATTTTCTTTGAAAATCTGGCGAAAACTACCAAGATTTATCTCTTCCAACCACATCCCAACATCCTGCCATAATAAAAACATCACAGTACAAGATCATGTTATTCATAATGTTTCGACGTCAAACATTAAAAAAAGAACACAATAAAAATTCTTCCACAATATCTCCAAGACTTTTGGCATAGATAACATCAAAATTTGGAGACACGTTTGCAGGTGTTTTACCTTGTCACTAAATTTCCTTTGTTCCTTTTACGGATCAGTTAGTACTCACAATGGTTGATCAGATATCACAATCAGTTTCGATGATCTAAAATGAATGGTAATGAAGAGAAAAGTTGTTTGTTCTATAATTTTCTCCATGTTTATCCTCAAAGTTGCACAACAACAAAGTGCATTGGTTGCTATGTCAGTTCATAAAAAATATATAGTTTTAGAATGCCTAACCATTTGTCAAGCACACACAAGTCTTCCAAAGAAGCCGAAGATATAAAAATACCTAGCTAATCCACCTTTTAAACAGTCAATTGTAGCATTGCACGCAAGTCAGGAGTATGTCTCATAACTTTAAAATAAACAGCTCGTCTTCAATAGCGAATACACATCTGATGCATCCGCTGGTATTTAGCATTTACTCTCATCTTCTCAAACAAGTCTTCCCGCATAGTGTAAAAAAAGTGGCACCTCCAACTTTCCAACCTTACCAAAAAAAAAATCTGCAAGCAGGAAAAGAAGCTTTCCTCTTCTTTCTCTCTTTCATTTCTTCTCTACAGTCGTTTAGTTGAAAACTTGTATAAAACTGAGGGTGCTTTATTAGAAATGCCAAAACAACAAATGCCCAGTTAAGAAGAAAATTGTTATACCGGTTCTGCAGGCATCAACAGCATAGACATTATTTACTTGTAATTATGTTGGACAGTCAGAGTCACAGATATATGAAATTTCAGTTATCCACTAAATCAGCCCCATGTTTACCTACACGAACAACTTTTTAATGAGAATGTTCATCATTGAAGATACGATGATGAGTGAAGAAAGTTAATCAAATAATTAAGAAGCATAACCAATCTCTTACTTCGCTGCTTAACCATTAGAAGAACAAAGAAACACTTGATCAAAGGCATAATTTTGATTTGATCATGAGGAAAGGGCAATAAAAGCTTATCACCTTTTTAATCAATTCAATTCCCAATAATCAAAACAGGAAACAATTGTAGTAATCAGAAAACACCCATCGTTTCTGATATACTAGTTTTTAAACAATTTGATCAATGTTGAGTGAAGAAATGTCGGTCAAAATTTTATGAATAGGTCAGTTTCTTGGGAATTGAACTCGAAGGATAAAATTTTATGACTCTAAATGACACCTAAACTATAACAAGTTCTTCTTAATGAGCTTAAAAAATCAAATATGTATACCCAAGAAATTAATGAAGTATTATTATAAAGTATGTGTAATAAAGTTGAGTTATTCAGCTAAAGCAATTAGTTATAGAGGTGACTCAAAAGTCCTCCTGATAACTCCGTAAAAAGACTTAATTCCTAGTCTTTTCACTTAAGTTATTGCTCGTTTAGACAAAGTATGCATTGCATTTTTAGTTGCATTTAGTCACATATAGGTTATATTAGATTGTGGTGGATAAGTTTTCCTTAGGCAAGATTTATTTGGTTTGACTGATGCTGCTGAAGAGAAATGGTTGTCTGGTTGTGTTTGTGAAGGAATCTTACTGAGGAAGAACATTTCAGTCGTGACAATGAAAAAGTGCAGAGGCCAACGGAACAGATGAGAATATGAGGAGCAGATTTATCTCGCCAAGGCAAGATTTATTTGAGGAAGTCTAAAGCAGGTGTGGCTAAACCGCCTATGTCACACACCAGCTGGATGACATACTTCACGTACAAGCAAGCCTCAATTATTCTGATAGCCGCCAGCCGCCTTTCGTTTTTAAGTTCGGGCAATTAATAACGGCTAGTTAAGGAAACTCTAAAAGTATACAAAAACTTAGAAGGTTTTTCCTTATAAATAGCCAGCCGTAGCCGCCAAAAAAAGAGGCAAGGAAGAAGAGAGAAGAGCTTTACCTAAGGCGTGAGCAAGCAACTGCAGTGCTTTCCCACCGTCTACCCACCAACCTTCATTGGTGTCCTCCGTAGCCAGACGATAGCAGAGCGGTGATCAGGCCTCGAGAGAGAGTGATCACCAAGGCAGGCGCGCTGCTAATCAGGATTGTCGCGACAGAGCCCCCGATTTTGGGAGTCGTTCTTCCTTTGTTTTTAACTCTTTATCTATTTGGGGTTGTATTAAAACGTTTAATCTTGAATGATCTTTGATAGCACCATGAATGCTTTACTTGGTGTTAAACTTTGTTTTGCCGAACAATATTTTATGTTTATGAATGATGAAGTATGTTTCGCTTATGACTGTTTTGTTCACAACTTAAATATTTTACCTTAGCACTGTAAGAGCATCGAGAGATAGCCTTGGGTTTTGGTAAAACATATATTGGCATTGTAAGAGCATCGAGAGGTAGCCTTTTGTCTAGATAAGTGATTTTTAAATTCGAGAGAATTAAGATAGATCAACGTGAGCAATGGAATGAATCTGGGATGGTGAAGTTCTAACTTGTCTACCTTAGAGATAAAGAGTGAGTTTCAATCGACTAAAAGGGATAGATGCTAGAGTAGGAGAGACTACGTCTATAGTTAACGACGAGAGGTATTGCCATAGCAACCGTCTAAGAATACCTAGTAATACTGTCGGGCAATTTTAGTGAGTCATAATAAGTCATTCTAAACTGAAAATATTTGTTGTCAAGACAATAGTTTAGCATAAGTGCTCTGTGACACGTCTGAATATGTGAGGTTGTTTGCATTATATTTAACCCATCACTTGTTTTATTAGTCTGCATATTAATTTTTCCTCAACCAAACCTTTCTGAAATCATTGAATCATTTTCTTAGTTCATTAATTCTTAGGATAATACTTAGTAGAACTTAGCTTGTGACATTAGTTCTAGTTGTGGTGAAAATATATTTCTAATCCAATCCCTGTGGAGACGATACTCACTCACTACTATATTACTTGCATCGATTGTGTATACTTGCACAGATTTGCTTGCCTTAGCATATACATTTACAAGAGATCAAGTTTTTGGCGCCCTTGTCGGGGATTGGCAACTGACGATATTTTTAGCCATAACAAGTTATCTTTGTCACTTTATATTACTATAACGTAGTTTACTATTTTCTTTTATAAGTTTTAATTATTGCATGACCTTGAGATCTTCTGGTAAGCCTTTGGAACCATTTGATCCTGAAATTGAGCAATCACTCAGACAAAGGTTGCGTGCCCAAAGAACCAGAGAACAAGCAAATCAATTTCAAATACAACACAACATGGGAGATTTAGGAGATCCAGATACATCAATTAATCTTCAAGTTGCAAGACCAAGAGCGATACGAGATCATTTAAACCTTATTCTCGATGACCTCAATGCAAGCATAGTGGCACCTGAGATATAAGCTACTCACTTTGAACTCAAACAGGTGATGTTTAACATGTTAAACTCTATCAGAGAATTTGGTGGTTCACCCAATAAAGATGCAAGACAACATGTTCGTGCTTTCCTTGAATTATACGACTCGTTTTGGCAACAAGGAGTACATGAGGATGTGCTAAAACTGAAGCTTTTTCCTTACTCCCTACGCGATAGAGCAAGATCCTGGCTCAACGGAGTTTCTTCCGGCTCAATGGAGTCATGGGCAGACTTATGCAAGTGTTTCCTACTGCGATACAATCTGCCCAATATGAACACTCAGCTTCGCAATGACATTTCTAGTTTTCGCTAAGGAGATGATGAATCAATGTACGAATATTGGGATAGGTATAAGAGTTTACTTCACAAATGTGTTAACCATGGATTTCACGATTGGATGCAAGTGGTAATGTTTTACATTGGAGTCAACGCACCAACTTGAATTATGCTAGATGCCTCAGCGAATGGCACATTACTGGATAAATTACCCGAGGAAGCCTTTGACATCCTCGACAGGATAGTAAATAATGATTATCAATTTCCAAGTGCAAGATTGGGAACTGATAGAAAAATATCAGGAGCATATGAATTAGAAGGTAAAGATTCGGTTGCAGCTCAACTTTCGGCTATAACCAATATGTTGAAAATTTTGCAACGTCCTAATGAGATAAGAAAGTTAAGGTGACCAATAATGTATGCCTATTTTGTCACGGCAATCATCATGAGAGTGAATGTCCTGAAAACCATGAGTCAACTAATTTTGTGGGCAACTACAATTGGAATAATAATAACCCCTATTCGAATACGTACAATCCTGGTTGGAGTCAGCACCCTAATTTTTCATGGAGTAATCAAGGGAACAGTAAAAATCAAGCCGCAAACTACAGACCACAGTAAAATAATTCTGACCATCAACATTTTCAGAATCAGCATCATCAACAGCCTTGGTAGAACAATAAATGTATGGTTTCTTCCTCTAGCACCAATTCGAATATTAATTCCTTGGAGTTATCATTGCAGGAATTCATGGCCTCGATAAAAGATTTCATGGCTTCCACAAAGACCTTGGTGCACGAACACTCTGCAACAATTAAAATCAAGGAAATTTGCTACAAAGCCAAGCAACGCTTTTGCAAAGCCATAGTTCATATCTCAGAGCATTGGAAAATCAAGTAGGACAAATTGCTACGGCATTACATTCTCGCCCACATGGAAATCCCCCTAGTGATACTGAAGTCACTAAGCATCACGGGAAGGAGCAATGCAATGTACTTACGCTAAGGAGTGGAAAATAAGTCGACCAAAATGACAAGTTTGGGGGAGGACACCTGAACAATCCTTACCAAGGCATAACACAACTGGATGATCAATCTAAGAATGTTGAACGAGAGAAAGTGCCTAAAGAGAAGAAAAGAAGTGAAGGCTCCGAAGAGCATCAACCGGATGATAAAAAATTCATGGTCAAGGCCAACGATTACTCAGCACCATCAGCAGTCGATGTGAGACCTCCACCACCGTTCCCTCAATGGTTGAAGAAGCATGAGGATGAAATACAGTTCAATAAATTTGTTGATGTTCTGGATCAATTGTGTATTAATGTGCCCTTACTTGAAGCCATCGAACAAATGCCTTCCTATTCCAAGTATCTTAAGGAAATTGTTACAAAGAAGAGGAAGGTAAAACGTGTCACCACGGCAACAGAAATCTGCTAAGCAGTAAGCAAACTCCCACCAAAACAAAAAGACCCTGACAATTTTATAATACCATGTTCCAGTAAAGGTGGCTGATCGGTCATCCTACAGTTGGCTGATCGATCTTATGTGCGACCCGAATGAAGAATAGAAGACATCATAGTAAAGGTGGATAAATTCGTATTTCCAATAGATTTTCTCATCATGGATTGCGAAGCCGATGAAAACTCACCAATCATTCTGGGACGCCTTTTCTTAGCCACTGGGAGAATCCTCATAGATTATGAAAAGGGAAAATTCACCATGAGAGTAGGCGAGCAAAGCGTCACTATTAATGTATTCAACTCCATGAAATATGTGGACAATTAAGAGGAATGCCAATATATTAACAAGATTAAAGAAAAGGCAATCCTTGGACGAGGTGAATCCCTAAGGCTCGATAAATATAGTACTTTATACCATGAACCTACAACCGAGATACATGAAGCAGAAAACTTTGGCCCAGATGAACTATTTTCATAAGACGATCCTGAAAATCATGGCCTCGACCAAAAAAATCTGAGCAATGAACACCCCAAAAACAATACGAATGCAAGATGCAGAGGAAAGACAAGGTACCAATCGAGACTTCTTCATAACAGGTCAGGTATGAAATTTGAACCCTTAGATTATGATGAAGTTAGATATCATGAGTCATCTTTACAACATGCACCGAAGCTGGAACTTAAAACTTTGCCATCACATTTGAAATATGCTTATCTAGGAATTGATGAAACTCTACCAGTGATAATTTCTGCTAACCTAACCTCCGAATAGGAGAATAGTTTGTTAAATGTCTTGTCACAGCACAAGAAAACTATAGGACAGACGATGGCAGACTTGAAAGGAATCAGTCTGACCATATGCATGCACAAAATCAACCTTGAAGACAACCATAGCACCTCAGTGAAACCCCAAAGATGGCTCAACCCGATCATGAAGGAGGTAGTCTTGAAGGAAATTATAAAATGGCTGGATGCAGGAGTAATTTATCCTATATCTAATAGTTCATGGGTTAGCCTAGTACAATGCGTACCAAAGAAAGGTGGTGTGACCGTGGTTAAAAGCGAGCATGATGAGCTACTCACCACGAGAACAGTCACGGGATGATGTATATGCATGGATTACAGGAAGCTTAACAAAGCAATAAAGAAAGATCATTTCCCCTCCATTTTATCGATCAAATGTTGGATAGATTAGCTGGAAAAGCATTTTACTGCTTCCTTGATAGATACTCGGGGTATAACCAAATTGCAATAGCACCGGAGGACCAATAAAAAACAACTTTCACATGCATGTATGGTACCTAAGCATTTAGACGAATGTCGTTTGGACTGTGTAACACTCCAGCTACATTCCAAAGATGCATGATGGCAATCTTTTCGAATATGGTGGAAGAGTGCATGGAAATATTTATGGACGACTTCTCCGTCTCGAGTAAGGATTTTGACCGATGTCTTGGAAATTTATCCAAGGTGTTGAAACGCTGTGAAGAAGACAACTTAGTGCTAAACTGGGAAAATGCCATTTTATGGTAAAAAAAGGAATAGTGTTGGGACTCAAAATTTCATGCCATGGCATCAAAGTCGACAAAGCAAAGGTGGATGCAATTGTAAATCTTCCCCCACCTACTAATGTTCGAGGTGCATGCAGTTTCCTTGGATATTCAAACTTCTACAGGCGGTTCATAAAAGACTTTTCACAAATTTTTAAACCCTTATGTCTTTTGTTTCAACAAAATCATCCATTTGAATTTACTAATGATTGTTTGAATGCCTTCACAGATCTGAAGAAAAAGCTTTCGGCAACACCAATTTTTATCCCACCAGACTGGAATGAACCATTTGAGCTCATGTGCGATGCTAGTGACTATGCAGTCGGAGCAGTACTAGGGAATGGGAAAAGTAAAATTTTTCACGTCATATACTATGCAAGCCGTACTCTTAATGATGCACAAGTGAACTATACCACCACTGAAAAAGAACTCTTAGCAGTAGTATTTACATCCGATAAGTTTAGGCCATATCTAATAGGCACTAAGGTAATTGTGCACACAGATCACTCTGCCATTAAATATATGATTAATAAAAAAGATGTAAAGCTTAGACTAATTCGGTGGATATTACTACTGCAAGAATTTGATTTAGAGATCAAGGATAAAAAAGGTATAGAAAATCAAGTGGCAGACCATTTGTCTAGGTTAGATAACAAACATGATAGTCCTGACATCACATAAATTAAAGAGGATTTACCAGACGAGAAAATATTATTTGTCACGGCTGCACCATGGTATGCTGACATTGTTAACTTTCTTGTTAGTGGTATTGTTCCTCCTGATATATCTAGCCAGGGCAGAAAGAAGTTCCGACATGATGTGCGACATTACTACTGGGATAAACCGTTCATATTCAAGCAATGCGGAGACAAAATAATCCGAAGATGCATTCCAGAAGAAGAGCAGCAATATATCCTACACCAATGCCAAGGGCATTTTGGTGGAATGAGAACAACAACAAAAGTGCTTCAGTCCGGATTTTATTAGCCAACCATGTTCAAAGACGCACATGAATTCTACAAGTCGTGTGATAGATGTCAACGAACAGGAAACATCTCGAAACGACATGAGATGCCATGGAAAATATTCTGGAAATTAAACTTTTTGACGTATATGGAATAGACTTCATGAGACCTTTCCCATCATCATTCGGAGATTTGTATATTCTCATGGTAGTGGATTATATATCAAACTGGGTGGAAGCCATCGCAACACCTAAAAATGATTCGAAGACGATGCTAAAGTTTTTGCACAAAAATATATTCACCTGCTTTGGAACACCACGAGCCATAATTAGCGACGAATACACACATTTTGACAGCAAATTGATTGCCAAGGCACTGAAACGATATGGAGTACGACATAGGATTGCTATGGTGTATCACCCTCAAACGAATGGACAAGCCGAAGTCTCTAACCGGGAGATTAAGAAAATCCTTGAAAAATGGTCAACCCGAATCGAAAAGACTGGTCGCTGAAGTTAGATGAAGGACTATGGGCTTATCGAACGGCATTCAAGACACCGCTGGGAATGTCCCCATTCAAGCTGGTCTATGGAAAGGAATGTCATCTACCGGTTGAACTTGAACATAAAGCCTACTGGGCCATCAAAAAGATAAACATGGATGCTCAGCTTGCTGGACATAGAAGACTCTTGGAGCTGAACGAGATGGATGAGTTTAGAGCACATGCATACGAGAATTACTGCCTTTACATGGAGAAAAAAAACGATGGCATGACAGAAAAATATTACCGAGGCAATTTTCTCCTTGACAACAAGTACTGCTCTACAATTCACGCCTTAAGTTATTCCCGGGCAAGCTAAAATCAAGATGGTTGGGACCGTTTAACATTCACCAAGTCTATGAAAATGGAGCTATTGAAATTAAAAATCTAAACGATGGTTCCATCTTCAAGGTCAATGGGCAGAGACTCAAGGAGTACAAAGGAGCCACAGTCATGCGCGACAAACAGGCATCATTGGCACATGATGCCCAAGAATTTGCTTTACTTAATTGAGCATATATTTGTTGCCTAGGCAACAAAAAATCTGAATTCTGTACATAAATAAGTTAAGTTATTTTCTATTTTAATCCGTTTTATTTTATTATTTTCTTCGCTCTTATTGTAGGCAAACAAGTAACACGTGGAAACATGGGGAGTTGAAGCATGCATGAAGAAAAAGCCCTAGGGTACAAGGTTTTGGCGACAAAATAAAGAGGGAAAGAAAACCTTTTCCCACTTTACGTCCAATCAGATATTTCTCATTTAATGAGAAATCTTTTCCCCACCATGAACGGACTGAATTGCCTTGAAACCACCTATCACTTTCCCAAAAAAACCACTCAACCTCTTCTTCTTCAGCGTGTTTCCCTCTCTCTCTAAAAACAATAAATTTTTTTCTTTCTCTCAACAATACCTCCTCATCACCACCACAAAAGTCAGCCAAGTACAATGGTGAGAACAAGGAAAGTCCCAGCCCCAACACAAAGTTTCGAACGTTTCCAAACAGCAGAAGCAGAAGCATGCTTCAAGACCTTCTAGAAACGCCAAGTATATTAGGAAGATGGATTTATTTTCCAACCGAGGAAGAGGAGCCATTCGGACCAAAGGTGATGGACGTGATAAAAAAACACAACTGGGAGAAGTTTTCCCGCAATCCCAAAGCCGTAGCACCGATGATGGTACTGCAATTCTATGCCCATTTTGAGGACCCATCTAACCACACAGTTTATGTTCGAAGAAAGCTCATTCGATTTTTCCCTTGTTTACTCAACCGATATTTTAAGTTAGGGAAAGTTGAAGAGCAACACAAGATATTTTTGATAGAGGCCGATCAAGAAACATACAGTGGCGTATTGCAAGATCTTTGCTTTGGGTGGGCCAGTTCGAAGGGAGTGCCCCAACTAGGAATAGAGTTGATCGTCGAGCACTGAAACTGCACGTGAAACTATGAAACCACTTTCTCAAAGGCAAGCTGATGCCAACGTCTCACAACACCACTGTCCTCGTGAAGAGGTTGATGCTCCTACACTCGATCATTTATGGAAGGAAGATTGACGTTGGAGAATTCATTTTTGAGCAAATCCGTGACTGTGCCAAGAGAAACCGGGGTAACCTTCTGTTTCCCAACTTAATAACTATATTATGCAAGACGAAGAAGGTTTCCGAGGATCACTTCGAAGATTACATTAAACCAAAGGAGGGCATCACAAAGAAAAAGGTTCTCGAGTTGATGAGTTTCAATGACGATGACCCAAAGGAAAGTTTGGAGTGAGGAGCAAAATTGATTGCAGTAGCTAGATTGGTTGATGTGGTCATACTCACTCGAGAAACTCGTGAAAAGATCGGTCGCCTGGAGGACCACATGGAAATTTACTTCGAATATGTCAAGGCCAGGGATATGCAAATCAACGACTTCTTCAAGGAGTTGCTCCCGAACTCAAACATCAGACTATCAACCTTCCCCGCTGTCATCCTTAAATACAAGGTGAGCGGAAGCACATTCCATACCTCGACATCACATGCACCTCCAGACGTTCCCCCAGAAATACCCGTTGATGTGACACCACTAGCAACTCAAGTACCACCTGTACCAGAGGAAGGCCAAGGCGACACAGAAGAATTCCTCAGCTCCTCCTCCTTTTCAACCTCCAAAAGCAGTGATGATACTCCACCCCACTTCTTCTCAGATGAAGATCTTACTCCAGAACCGCCACAACCCGAGCATGATCCTACTCAGTCCCCTATCTGTCCACCACCGCCAGTCCCAGTAGTAGCTACTAGTCCAGCACCAATCCCAGCAAAACCAACTCCTACGACTGAGCAATCAACTCCAGCACGAACATCACCCGCAAGAAGCACTACAAGAGAACCGCAGGCCGTATACTTCAATCATCTACTTCTCAACCAGCAGCAGTAGACTCCGGATCCGAGAATCCTTCTCATCCCAAACGACGCTAAATGAGGGCGTCTAGTCAAACCACCCTACCACAATGAGTCTTTAATTTAGTTTTTTTTTTCTTTTTCGCATATGCATTTAGGATCATGTAGTTTAGTTTTCAAGTTTGGGGGAGGTATTGTACCATATTCTGCCATACTTTGTTAGAAAACAATTGATGTTAATTGGTTGAGAATTTTGGTTATCATGACATAAACAGGTTGAGATTATTGTTAGGAATTAATTAGGGATGCCCAATGATGAATGCAGAATTTTATTGCCTAGGCCAGAATTATTGTTAAGACTGTCTAAAGAAGAAAACCAATTCTAGGCTTGATTCTTTGAAATTTATAAACACGATTGTAGGATGTTTTTGCTCTAGGTAATCTGTAAAATTTTTAGGAAATAACTTTCTATTTGCCGAGACTTCAAAAATATTCTAAGGGTAAAGTGGAAACTCTCTAGTGTTTAAAAACTTGAAAAACTCAAAAATACAAAAGGGACACTCCTCTGTACAAATGTATGAACAAGAAAAACTCCAAAACAAATTAGAGTAGCTAAGGAATATGAGTAAATAAAAGTAGTCACAAGATGACTCTGTCCGACTAGCTTGGGGGTGGAAGGTATGCTCCCTTTCACCTAGAGTGTGGAACGGTAGGTGTGATGAGTTGACTCCCCTGAAAAAAAATTGTGAATAAAGAGAATAAAAGTTGATAAATAACTAGGAGTATAAACTAAGCCTGACGAATAATATGTTACCTTGACAAACAATGAGTGCTTACTTTAAGTTTTCAAATTACCTCTATGCATAGACTAGTTACAATCACGCACACACAATAGCTAGGGATCCTGACTAGGGAAGGGACTTGACTGATATGACTGTCAACGTGTTGAGGCCAAACAATTTTTGTTGAGGGCTGAAACCTCAAACCAGATGATTTTCTTAATACTGCTTTGCCATGACAATTTTAATTCTCTTCTAGCTAGTATCCATTGCTTAAGGACAAGCAATAGCTTAAGTTTAGGGGTGTGATAACTCCGTAAAAAGACTTAATTCCTAGTCTTTTCACTTAAGTTATTGCTCATTTAGACAAAGTATGCATTGCATTTTTAGTTGCATTTAGTCATATATAGGTTATATTAGATTGTGGTGGATAAGTTTTGCTTAGACAAGATTTATTTGGTTTGACTGATGTTGCTGAAGAGAAAGGGTTGTTTGGGTTGTGTTTGTGCAGGAATCTTATAGAGGAAGAACATTTTAGTCGTGACAATGAAAAGTGCGGAGGCCAACGAAACAGATGAGAACGTGAGGAGCAGATTTATCTCGCCAAAGAAAGATTTATTTGAGGAAGTCTGAAGTAGGTGTGGCTAAACCGCCAATGTCACACGCCAGTTGGATGACCTACTTCACGTACAAGCAAGCCTAAATTATTCTGACAGCCACCACCCACCTTTCATTTTTAGGTTCGGGCAATTAATAACAACTAGTTAAGAAAACTCCAAAAGTAGACAAAGACTTAGGAGGTTTTTTCTTATAAATAGCCAGTCGTAGCCACCAAAGAATGAGGCAAGGAAGAAGAGAGAAGAGCTTTACCTAAGGCGTGAGCAAGCAACTGCAGTGTTTTCCCACCGTCTACCCACCAACCTTCCTTGGTGTCCTCCATTGCCAGACGATAGCAGAGCGATGATCAGGCCTCGAGAGAGGGTGATCACCAAGGCAGGTGCGGTGCTGATCAGGATTGGCGCGACAGAGCCCCCAGTTTTGGGAGTCGTTCTTCCTTTTTTTTTAACTCTTTATTTATTTGGGGTTGTATTAAAACATTTAATCTTGGATGATCTTTGATAACACCATGAATGCTTTACTTGGTGTTAAACTTTGTTTTACCGAACAATATTTTTATGTTTATGAATGATGAAGTATGTTTCGCTTATGACTGTTTTGTTCACAGCTTAAATATTTTACCTTAGCACTGTAAGAGCATCGAGAGATAGCCTTGGGTTTTGGTAAAAACATATATTGGCATTGTAAGAGCATCGAGAGATAGCCTTTTGTCTAGATAAATGATTCTTAAATTCGAGAGAATTAAGATAGATCAACGTGAGCAATAGAATGAATCCGGGATGGTGAAGTTCTAACTTTTCTACCTTAGAGATAAGGAGTGAGTTTCAATCGACTAAAAGGGATAGATGCTAGAGTAGGAGAGACTACGTCTATATTTAACGCCGAGAGGTATTGCTATAGTAACCATCTAAAAATACCTAGTAATCATGTCGGGCAGTTTTAGTGAGTCATAATAAGTCATTCTAAATGAAAAATATTTGTTGTCAAGATAATGGTTTAGCATAAGTGCTCTGTGAAACGTCTGAATATGTGAGGTTGTTTGTATTATATTTAACCCATCACTTGTTTTATTAGTTTGCATATTAATTTTGCCTCAACCAAACCTTTCTGAAATCATTGAATCATTTTTTAGTTCATTAACATTAAATCTTAGGATAATACTTAGTTTAACTTAGCTTGTGACATTATTTCTAGTTGTGGTGAAAATATATTATAATCCAATCCCTGTGGAGACGATAATCACTCACTACTATATTACTTGCATCGATTGTGTATACTTGCACATATTTGCTTGCCTTAGTATATACATTTACAAGCGATCATTTTCCTTTATGAATAGATTTCAAACCCTGACATTGATCGAATACATGTCAATTTGATGTTTTCTACAATGTTTGTCAAGTGAAAGACTTTGTTATGAGATGAATCCTTCAGCTAAGCCAAAATAAGGTCAAATGAGACCAAAATTAATACAAACTGTAAAGTTTGAGATTTAAATTACTAAAGAGTTTCGGTGAACATGGACTAAGGGAGTGTAGAAACACATGTTATAGTCAACTTCACACTAGCACTCAGGAATTCTATCTTTAGACCAATATTTTTGTACTATCTCTTCTAAAGGAGTCTTGGGAGCTTGAATAAATGAAAAATTTCAGAGAACATAAAAAGAAATGTTCTAAAAGGTCTATCAGTTGAGTATGTTGGTGCATCATTTCATTCGCATCCGATTAAAATACCAAGCCACAAAAAAGGGGTTTCACAATGTACACATGGACATAGACAAAGAAGACAACTAGATATGTGAAACCATAGAAAATTTAGGAAGCCAACCTTAAATCAATTGATCAGTCCTGAAACTTATCAAAGACTTGTAACTTTGGAAGATTAAAATAACAGTTGATTCTTTTGATATACAATGAACTCTTGTTTTATAATTTGTTTCAATTGTGAACCCAAAGTAAGGGGCATCATTTTTCAAAACTTCATAGAAAAATTTTCAAGTAAGACAATATCTTTGGAGGTAGATCTCGAAAATTGGCAAATGCTTCTCAGACATAGAAGTTCATGCTTAGAATTGGGGCAAGAAAAGATGACAATTTTGGGGGGAATTTTTTGGGGTAAGAAGAAAAATTGACACAAGTCAAGAATTGCAAATATACACACTGGTGTGACAAAGAATAAAGATAAGCGAATCGATAAGAAAATCAAGATTGCTTGTGCAACCTTTCATGACTACTGATCAGGAAAACATGCATTCACATAGGCATACATGTCACATGAAGTTGTATCTTTGCATCAAACATTCATTATCACAAACAACATAATAAATTTTGATTTCACTCTCACAAGGATGCCATTAAAATATCTCTTGAAATTTTGTTTTATGTAAGAATATTTTCTCCTCTCATGAGGAAAAATTCAAAAGCTCAATTTCAAAACCTCAAAACATCAGACCAATTTCATCCTAACAATTATAAAAACATTCAAGGTAGTTGCATTCATACATAGACTTTTTTTCAAATCTTTAGAAAAAAATTGTGACAACCGGATCTCCTCAACATGAATGATTAATGTCATCTTCGCTAATCAAGTTACCTAAAAGTGATCAGATCTATTCAGCACGAAGGGGCAATGTCGTTTTCTCAGTTAAATTATCTCTAGACAACCCGACCTCCTCAACGTGAAGGAACAGTGTTGTCTTCAGATACAGTTACTCAAATACAACTAGATGTCCCCATCACATAAGAACAATATCATTCACTGGTCAGACATCCTCAACCCGAATGAGCAATGTCATCATCAGATTTACATCGAGTAAATCACACAAAAGGGGATCAGATCTCTTCAGCATGAATGAGCAGTGTCGTTTCCAAAATCAAATTATCTCTAGGCAATCAAATTTCCTCAATGTGAAAGAACAATATTGTCTTCAAATGTCCAGTCCTTCAAAAATGGCAAGTCGTCCTCATCACAAAGAACAACACCGTGAGCAAACACCGATTGTATCATTTGAGATTATTTCTCTTTAAAAAAAATTTATTTTATTCAACACAATTTCCCTTTAAATAATAAAAAAATTGTTTCTTTTAAAACAATTTTTTGTCTTACTCGAGAAGGTTTCTTTTGAAACAAAAACTCAAACAAATTTTACCTCACTTGATACAATTTTCTTCCAAAAGCGAAAATTTTATCTCGCGTGAGATAACTTCTTTTGAAACTAATTTTGTCTCGCTCTATACATTTTCTTTTGAAACTCAAAGCATCGACATTGTTTCTCTTGAAACAAGTTATGTCTTGCTTAAAATTTCTCTCGCTTGAAAGTGCAACTTTTAACATTTTAAAATTTAACTCTTTTGAGAATATTTATTTTTAAAACCAAAAATTGAAAACAACTCCCTTGAGATAAAAATCATTTTCAGTCTCTCTTTAGACAATGTCAACTTTCAATACAAAAGGTAGAACTGGACAAAAAGTCGTTATCCTTTTATATTTGCACTACTCTTGTTCACACAAGAAAAACAAAGAGGGACAGCTGTCGACACTCTTTTTTTTATCTGGGTTACTTTTTATGTTATTATTTATATATTATATTAATATTACTTCATTATCTATATTGAAGGACTATTACAATACCAAACCC